GGTCGACGAGGTGGCGGATCTTGTCGCAGTAGACGTCGACGGCGAGGACGGTGTGCGGGGTCTCGGCCATGAGCTTCTCGCAGAGGTGCGAGCCGATGAAGCCGCCGGCGCCGATCACGCAGATGGTCAGCGGCGCCACGGCGCCGCCGTCCAGATCCGTCCTGCCCCCGCTCGCCATGCTCAACCTCTCTCCCCCGGCGGTCGCGCGGCGCGGTCGGTGGTGGACGGACGGTCGGATCCGGGGCGGGGAGCGGGGGGAATGCGCGCTGGGATCGGGTCTGGTTGGGTTTGGGCTGGGATTATCTATCCGGCGGCGATGTCGGTGGGGAACTGGCGATGGTACGGCGTCGATGGGGTGGCGGTATTTAAGGGATTGGGGCGAGAGTGGAGTGGCCGAAGGAAGGAAGGAATGGGGTTTCTGGGGGTGGGGTGGGCCCCACCGGCCAGATCGAGATCCGCTGCCCTGTGGGCCCGGCCTCCCCCCCTTCTCTCTAGATTGGCCCCTCTCATTCTTTCTTCACCAGATGTTTCTTAAGTTCTCCTCTTTGGATACCTTTTCTTCCTTGATGATTATGCTTGTGGGTTGATTTGATTTGGTTGTAAAGCATGTGTCAGACGCGTTGGTTGTTTTCTACCTTCTGTTTCTCTCAAACGATGCTCGTGTGTGTCTCAACTCAAGAGGATGCGAACCAACCCGTGGTTGGATGGTCAAAGGGACAATGGTATCCCCAGCCCATCGGGATTCAAATCCTGGTGCTCACATTATTCCTGCATTTATTTCGTGATGCGCTTTCAATTGGTGCCGGCTCAGTCTCTTGAAGGTGCTCGTAGAGGTAGGGTGTGCGTGTGTGCAGTGTGCGTTCATAGGGGTGAGTGGGGGCGGCGAGGTGGTGGAGACGGATGGATGGGGTTGGGTAAGACCGGTGGTTGCACAGGAGGTCGTTTGGATATGAGGAGGAAGAAGGTTGGAGGAAGCAAATGAATTGCGGATGGTTGGATTTTGATCTTACAGACAGAAATGAAGTGGCTGATGTGAATCGTTTTTCAGTTAACCGACGCATATCCGGTCCCAAATTTGTAGTTGTATACGGACCTCCACGTCTATGCTAAGGTTCTATTGGTGTATCCGAGCAAACTATCATTCCCTACGTGAGGCCATTCGAGTGAAAGCCGTGATTTGGAACTGTCCCCTACAAAAACCTCTCCCAACGAGCGCTCGAAAAGTGTCATGCTAAAGCAGATGTATTTTACATGCTTGTATACAGATTTATCATGTTGTAAAGAAAAAAATGCCATGATAGAAGAAAGTGTAGAAATTTGCCATGCCGCGTTTTCGGAGATTTGTCACGATGCGATATGGAGAATTACCCGGCCGAAAAAAGAAATTTCCAACTTTTTCATGATTTGCGATGTTGGAAAAGGAAAATGGCATGCTACATCAAAGGGAACTAGGGAAAATTATCATGTATCCTGAATGTGTTTGTTCGGATTACCATCCTAAGTTTTAGTGTCGTCATCTCGTAGTTTGCTCGGAGGGGTGCGTGGGAGCTGCCACGTATTTTACTTTGAGATTCTTTTTTTTAGAGGAATTTACTTTGAGATTCATACAAAGAAATTAAATGTGTCACATCGCGTTCGCTTGAAAAAAACCATAGAGTTGAAGTCGGATTGTTAATATTTAAGTTATATCCATTTGTGTGGCTCAATAGAAGGCACACGCGTTATGCCAATTCTCCCCATCTTTCTCATTCTTGACGTGCCATCAGCCACCAACCATCTCATTCAATGTGACATTTCTTGTTCATCGCCACGCCGCCTTGAATTCCCGACGCCATTCACCATGGAGGCCCTCTTGCTCCTCCGGTGGAGCCGCGGAGAAGAAGGCACTCTTTGATTCGATTTGGCTGGACCGGGTTATAGTTCGAGCGGCCATCATCCAGCCAGTACGGGGAGAAAATTACCATGATATCAATCTCAGGGGCGGCCCTCGTGTATGGCCAGAGAGGTAACAACCTTGGGGCCCCATGATCTTATTGGCATGCATGTATGCCATAGCACAGTAAAAAATAGATATGGAAAATAAGATGGGCTGGCCAAATTGTTGATTGCTAGTGCTAGGAAACAGAAGCGTCGCACCCCGCACACTTCATTCGTGAATTCAGGATCGCTTCATCGCTCTAGCTGCCTGCAACCTCCGTCTACCGATTCTCCTCTGGTTGTGTGCCGCACTGCCGCCGTTCACTGCCTGGCCGAGGCGCTGAGCGACCGGCGGCCACTCAGTCACTCATGTTCGGCCATCAGTGAGACCGTGACCATGAGTTCGTCATCAAGTACGTGTTCATCCATCCCCAATTTCAGTGTACTGAGTACATGATTAGGGTTCTCATGTACAAATTTCTAATTCTATGTATTCCCTTTTCTTGATCCAAATTTCTAATGTCTAATTTGTAGCTCAAGGTATTCCTTTTTTCTTGACAATCTCTACAAATTTATGATTCTATGCAGTACATATCTTGGACAATGTTGATCTTCATATTGATGACTTTGCATCAACAAACGCCAAAGAAACTTTTTTGTGAAGCATTATTGTTGTTGATGGAGTCATTTGAACTTGGATCTTATTTAAGATAATCATGTTCGTTTCATTTGCTATTTTTTCAGTGTCTCTGTCATAATATGGCACTGGCCAACAATTATTGCTAGACATCTCAAACTAAAGATTTATGGTTGAAAGTTTACTCTTAGTATTATGCGAATGAAGTTCAATATATATTTGTTTATGTAGAAATACACATACATACAACCAATTTAAATAGTCCGAGGGCTTAGGGGCCCGTGTCGTTGAGTTCGCCCTAGGGTGTTCCAACAGGTAGAGCCGGCCCCGATCAATCTTACTCCAGGTCCATCCAAAACTAATTAAACGAAAACAAGAGAATCTAACCCAACTTGTGGCTAGCACATGTGCACCCCCATGAAACCAGCTCCTCGAGCAATGCAGTCAGTCTCCGATTCTTTCCTTGTGGGGATTAGTTTAGTTTCTGATATTGCCTCGTGTCCATGAATGCCATGCGTAGTCGGCAAACCAAACATCCATTTGCAAGTACAAAATATTTGATCACGTATCGAGGGGCTTGGAAAACAAGACCCTACTTATGCCAAAACAAGATCCTACTTACTAATTTACTGATGATTGTACCTTGGTCGATATTCAAAGGTAAGTGATTCCAATCCGCTGACCGGTCAGCGCCTCGCGCTGATCGCCTCCTTGCGCCGCACGCCCGTCATTTTAATATGATGATGAAATCTGTTAGAGATTTTGAGACAAAATTATCACTGGCTAATTCGTTGCTGTTTTTCGCGGGGCATTGGTTAGCAGCAAGTAGTTCTATTAGGCCGGTGCAATCGGAGAAAAGACACTTTCTTTTTCTTTTTTGAAGTGTCTCGGGGAAAGTTCTTTCCCCCTATAAACCTTGCAGTTTATGAAAGAACCCCAATATTGTGATGATGTTCCCTTAGTGGGGTCACCGAGCCAATTATCGTTCCCTCCGGGAGACCATCCGAGCGACACCGCAATCTGGGAGTGCCCCTTCAACAAAGCCTTTCCCAACAAGCACTCGAGAATTACCATGCTAAGATGAATATATTTTTCATGCTATTATATAAAGGCTTGCCACATTGTGAAGAAAAAATTACCATGACGGCGTAAAGATCGTTAGTAATCTGTCATGATGTAACAGAGTAATTTTCATACGTCTTAGGGAATTGCCATGATGCATAATGGATAATTGACAAACAAATTAAATAAAAAAGTTCCAATTTGTTTAGGATTCACAAATGTTGGCAAAGAAAACTACAATGCTGCATCAAAGGGATCTGGTTAAAGAAAGTTGCTCTAAAAATAGAACTTGCCATCCGCTTAGGTGTTCGCCCATATTGTCATCCTGAGTGAACCGTCTAATGTCGTCAGCTCATAGTTTGCTTAGAGGAGTGCATGGCAGTAGCGCATGGCGATCGCCACATGTATTGATTTGATATTTGTACATGAGAATTAAGCGTGTCACAACACGCTCGCTCAACTAAAAAACCTTTGAGCCGATGTCAGATCGTTAACATTTTAAGTGATATAAACCACTTTTGCAGCTCAATGAAATGCACACGCACTACGCCAATCTTCTCACTTTCTCTCTCCCTCGACTTGCCATCAGCTGCCAGCTATCTCACTCGACGTGACATTCCTTACTCATGGTCACTGACCACCCTGTTGCGTATTTTCTTGAGGGGGGCATGCTTGACCCAGCGGGAAAAAAAATGGAAATTCATAAATATTCTGAATTTCTTGAAGACTAAAACGAGAACAAACCTTCAAATGAGTGAATCGTAATTAAAAATGTTGGGGGGGGGGGACAGGGTAGTAGTTATGAATCCAGGGCAATCAACCACTATCTAAAATCTTAGGTTGGATAACTGTGTGTTTTTAAAATCCTAGACGCGTCACTAATTTCATTCGACGTGGCATTACTTGTTCATCGCCATTGACCACCCTATTTTTAAATCCTAGCTCCTCCATTAATTTCATTCAACGTGACATTACTTTTGTCGTCTCACCGCCTCCGAATTACTAATGCCATTCACCGTAGAGGTTAGTCACTCCTTGTTCCTCCGATAGAGCCTTGGAGAAGAAGCCTATTGGTCGTCCTTTGGTTTGATTTGGCTAGACCGGATTATAATTCGAGCGACCATCCAGCCAGCAGCGTGTGGAGAGAAACTCCTCATCCATATAGACAACTTAAACAAGAAACAGGAGAACCTACACAACTTGTGCTAGCGGCAACAACATGTTACTAAATGCTAATTTAACTCCTCGAATGAAGCATTATTCAACAGATCCTTTCCTTCGAAGGGTTACTTTAGTTTTCAGTTGCATGGTCGGCACAAACTATCCATTTGGAAATGCGAACCAACATGTGATTGCAAGGTTAGGAGGATAGTGGTATTCTCGGCTCACCAGGTTTGAAATTCCGGTGCTCGCATTTATTTCTTGATTTATTTTGTGATTTTCAACGATTCACGATCACTAGGAGGAGACGTCCCCGTCACTAGGAGGCGTCTTTGGTGACTTCGTCAATCTCAAGATAATATGCCGACTCAATCTCTCGAAGGTGCCCATAGGAGTAAGGT